GCTTTTTGGCATGATGCAGTATGTTAGCGGTCCTCAGCCTTTATTTCCAGCAGCCCAGCGGGGGAGGAGAGGGAACCAGTCTGTGCAAGCAGTGGGCTGGTGTGTGCAAGTCAAGCTGCTTGTGTACATTGACCCGCTGCTTGTGCAAGTCAAGCTGCACATAGCCAGGTTCCAAATTGGGCCATGGCCTGGTAGTGGGCTGTGACCTGGGGATTGGGGCCCTCTGCAGTATGTGAGCCCAGGTCTTATTATTTATAAATATTATTTATAGCTTTGTATACTGTTCAAAGCTGCTACTTGTGGCTTAATTAGCAGATCATACTTAGAAAATATGAGTTAATAGGATGTATAATTATTCACTGAATTCTACCTAAATTACATGCAGTGTGAATTGAAGTTTCAATAAGCCTTAGTGAAAGAAAAGGTCTGTTTATAAATGTCGATGAAGATTCTCATTCACCCAGATAGAAATGTCTAGAATTGAGTCCTAGCAACTGGACTTATTTTTGTCAGTTTGAGATGTTACTGTTTATAAAACTTGATCAATATGCAGCATATTGCAGGTCAGATGAGGGTACTGAAAATTTCAAGTAGAGCTCTGCTTTATATGTGACAAGAATGAGAATGAATATATATTTTCAGTATGCTCCAAGATCAGAACAATCAAATTCTTTAGTCACTAGAATTTTTGGCATATTAACTATAGTAGATAAGAAGATTAAGTAATATTAGATTATTAAAAACTAATCATAAAAATTGTGCTAGAATATATTCCAAAAATAAAACTATTACCAAGAACTGAGCAGTATAGTTGACAAGTATTATCAAAGCAATCATTACTGGGGAAGTTGGGGGGGGGGCAGTAATCAGAAAATTAACCAGAAGCTATTTACAAAAAAGCATGTAGCGCCCAGTTTTCCTACTTAAAGTTGCTAATTAATTAAAACCAATCCTGGAGTTTTTTCCCCCAAATAAATGTGACATCATTATATAGATGCATATATTTTCAGACACATGTACACACTAGCCAGAGGGTTATTGCAAAACAAACACTCAAATTGAAGGATGTAAAGAAATCAGCCCACTTATACAATTAGTTGGAGTCTTATCTTTATGTGTAACATGCCTTTCTTTCATACATACAACTGTATTTTTATTCTCCCACGAGTAAAAACAAAAAAGGGATGAAGTAAGATTAGAGGACTTGTATATTAGGCATGGGGTAAAGAAAGAAGCAAAACAATATAAAATTCAATGTTTTGCTGGGTTCAGTGGGCACGACCCCATATACAGGTGAAACTCGAAAAATTAGAATATCGTGCAAAAGTTCATTTATTTCAGTAATGCAACTTAAAAGGTGAAACTAATATATGGGATAGACTCATTACATGCAAAGCAAGGTAGTTCAAGCCGTGATTTGTCATAATTGAGATGATTATGGCTTACAGCTCATGAAAATCCCAAATCCACGATCTCAGAAAATTAGAATATTACATGCAATCAATAAAACAAGGATTGTACATAGAAAAATATAGGACCTCTGAAAAGTATTAGCATGCATATGTACTCAGTACTTGGTTTGGGCCCCTTTTGCAGTAATTACTGCCCCAATGCAGCGTGGCATGGAAGCTATCAGCCTGTGGCACTGCTGAGGTGTTATGGAAGACCAGGATGCTTCAATAGCGGCCTTCAGTTCTTATGCATTGTTCGATCTCATGTCTCTCATCTTTCTCTTGGCAATGCCCCATAGATTCTCTATGGGGTTCAGGTCAGGCAAGTTTGCTGGCCAATCAAGCACAGTAATCTCACGGTCATTGAACCAGGTTTTGGTGCTTTTGGCAGTGTGGGCAGGTGCCAAGTCCTGCTGGAAAATGAAGTCAGCATCCCCATAATGCTTGTCTGTGGAAGGAAGCATGAAGTGCTCCAAAATCTCCTGGTAGATGGCTGCGTTTTCCCTGGACTTTATGAAGCACAGTGGACCAACACCAGCAGATGACATGGCTCCCCAAATCAACACAGACTGTGGAAACTTCACACTGGACTTCAAGCATTTTGCAGTATGTGTCTCTCCATTCTTCTTCCTCCAGACTCTGGGTCCTTGGTTTCCAAATGAGATGCAAAAGTTGCTCTCATCAGAAAAGAGGATTTTGGACCACTGAGCAACAGACCAGTTCAGTTTTTCTTTAGCCCAGGTAAAACGCTTCTGACGTTTTTTGTTGTTCAGGAGTGGCTTGATAAGAGGAATATGACATTTGAAGCCCATGTCCAGGATCTGTCTGTGTGTGGTAGCTCTTGATGCACTGACTCCAGTCTCAGTCCACTCCTTGTGAAAGTCCCCAACACTTTTGAATGGCCTTTTCCTGACAATCCTCTCCAGGCTGCAGTCATCCCTGCTGCTTGTGCATGTTTTTCTTCCACACTTTTCCCTTCCACACAACTTTCTATTAATGTGCTTTGATACAGCACTTTGCGAACATTCAACTTCTTTTGCAATTTACCTTTTGAGGCTTTCCCTCCTTATGGAGGGTATCAGTGATGATTTTCTGCACAACTGTCAGGTCAGCAGTCTTTCCCATGATTGTGATTCCTACTGAACCAGACTGAGAGACCATTTAAAGGCTCAGGAACCCTTTGCAGGTGTTATGGCTTAATTAGCTGATTAGAGTGGGACACTTCGAGCCTAGAATATTGAACCTTTTCACAATATTCTAATTTTCTGAGATTGTGGATTTGGGGTTTTCATGAGCTGTAAGCCATAATCTTCTCAATTATGTCACATCATGGCTTGAACTACCTTGCTTTGCATGTAATGAGCCTATCTCATATATTAGGTTCACCTTTTAAGTTGCATTACTGAAATAAATGAACTTTCGCACGATGTTCTAATTTTTTGAGTTTCACCTGTATGTTTACTGTAATAAGTTTCATTGTGTTATTTCTAAGTAAATTTTGTTAAGTAATCTTGTTTAATCAATATGAAATCCTACAATAATAAATTATTGGGGGGGGTGGAATTGGATAACTTTCTATCCTTCTCTGTAACAGTTGAATGTCTAGTGAATAGAGAAGTCATTGTCATTGTTTCTTTCTCAATGACAGTTTGGACTTGATAAATATATGGAGTCCAAGATACAGCCAAATCTCCCTCTGTAAAACATGCATATTTTAGTTATTAATTGATTTGGAAAACTTATTTTAAATATGAAGGAAGCAATGATGGTTAGCCTTTCAGTTCTCTTGGATTACAATGTATTATTAGCTCTACCATCTGGATTAAAAATTGCCAACAAAAATACGTATCTCCAGCACCCCTTCTATCGTTTAGTGACCACATTCCATTCCAACAACTTGGTTGTTAAGTGAAACATTTGTTAAGTAACACAAGACCAAAATAGATGCTTCGAGGATCACTGGTTGCTCCATGCTATTCAGATATAAGTTCTCTTGTACAGTGCCCCATGTCTGACCTCCCCCACACACTTTATTTTGTCCCTTCACAGAGCAGAGAGATTGCTTAAACTACAGTATCGGAATTCCTGAGCTGCTTTTCTCCAGTGTAATATTTCTAAAAAAAATGCTAACTGCAATTTACAAGTCCAGTCCTTAATTAGTTGATTAGAATTTTCTAGCCTTGCCCTTCTTCTTGCAACTGACCAGCCCATAATTAGTTTCACATGGAGAACTTTTGCTCAGGGATATGAAATTTGGTTGTAAATTGATTTACTGTTGAATTTGGGAAGACTGCTAGGTAAGATAGCCCCTAAATGTGATGCCTCACCACAGGGACACTATAATGGCTGCAACTTTGAAGACCCCTACATTTAGCACCGTTGTAACCAGTCACTGAATGGGTGGTCACAAAGTAAGGACTACCTGTAATATGAATTGATCTGTATTAATTGAGGTTTCCTATAGAATTGCGACCATGGTGTGAACATAGATACTTCTATTCCAACTGAGTGCCTTCTATGTGGTATTCACTACAATATTCAACTTTCTAGCTATTTTGCTGGTTTTGATTTGGAATAAGTAGGAGTTGTGGATATCTGAAGGTTTGCAAATTGATTCAGGGTGTTATTGAAATAATTCCCTTTCATTTTGGTGCAGTGTAAATATTTGGAAGGGTATAGATAATACATTCTTGGGAGAGAACAACAAACCATCTGATATCAAAGCTTCCAAAATCATAGTTGTGCACAATATGTATGACATTGAAAATTAAACTATCTTTGTCATAAAGATTTCTCAGAATATTGTAGTTAATGTGGTGGTACTGTTACCAAGCCATGTAGGATATGTTTCTGTATAGAGCAAGAGAATCTAAATGTATTTTTGTGTGTCTGTGACAACAGTGTAATAAAAAAAATGCAATTGGAGTAAAATTATTGAAATTGTCAAAGAAGAAAAATGTCATTATGCATTTTTAACATTTCCTAAAACAGTTGAACTTTACTATTTGAGACTACCTGGAGTTTTTATTCAATCAAGGAGCATAATTCAACAGTTTTGATCATTTAGCATGCACACAGTTCTGTAGTGCATTTTTTTACAGTACATTTCTGCTTTTGAACATATTGAATAGGCAATAAGTAAAGGTTAAGTCCGTCATTCTGTTTTATGTTCACGTACTTCCAAGCGTCTTAAGAAACTGGCATTCTCAGCTATGTGAAGATGCTCAAGATATTATTTTTGGAGCTTTTCATAAGCTGATACTGAAAGAAAATATTATTTATAAAATATGTTCTATAAATATTCAAAATTTGAGAACAGACCCTTACCCTTACTAATAGAAGGAAAAATATTACTGTATAAATTTTATAGAACTAGTAGTTCTAATATATTTGTGTTAAATTTTCTTTTAAGGCTATTTTTAAAGAGATGGTATAAACTTAAGAAAATAATCAGAATTCAGTTTAAGCAATAGTTTCATTAAGAAGTACTTATGAGTGGCCTTATACTATTTATTCACTTTTCATAATTCTGTTGTCTTTTCTGTACAGTTTCGATATTAAAGGAAACATAAAAATGATCAGATAAAATGCATGGAATGCATCCTGGACTTTAAGAGTGATGACTAATAAAATTAGTGGAGCAACATTGGAATTCCTCAGATCCAAGAAAAAGCACTCATATTCCATTCATTTTGCAATGGTAGGAACCATTTAACATATTTGCACAAAATTATATTGTTTTTTGTATCATTCAGTGTTAAAAATTGTTGTTCTAATGACTGTTTAAACATACTTTTCATCATACAGTAATAATAAATCAATGGGATATTTTTGGTAACTTATTTCTGTGCATGTTTTGTTTATTTTATTCCTTTTATTACTGACATTTTCTATGTCAGTCCACTGCCAATGGAATGGTATGTATGTATCTTAAGGCTACCTATCTTGAAGATAAAGAAATATTTCTATCTAGCAGAGTTACATGACCTTCTAGAGTCCGTGTTTAAGTTCTATTACCATGCTGCTCCAAACTGTGTTGCTCAGGATATTGTTTGATCTGATTCATCCCGGGAGCTTTATTCTTGCTACAGGGTTCCTTCTTCTCCTGTTAAAACACTTTATCACCTTCTACAATGTTCTTGTGTGTTCTATTCTTACACTGTAAATATAATTGGCAATGCCACCAAGCCCTTTTTAAAAAATATATTCATTCAATGTAGACTTTCAGTAGAAATCTACATTTAAAGAATTTTCTGCATCCATCTCTCAGGTATTTAAGCAGTCCTTGTTGTCCTAACTCCTCATAAATTAGAAACAATATGATCCTGGGCATATTGAAGGAAGAATGAAATTTTTCTCACATTTTCAACCTTGACTTTCTTCTTGTCAGTCCTCCTGACAGTATTGACTCTGCTATTCTTCAAGATAAGAGTGTGATTTCTTAAGTTCAGCAAAATACACAATAATAATCTTACGATGTACTTTTTTTGTCTCTGAACCCTAAAACTATTGAATCTATTCTTCTTTGCTTTTCATATCACAGCCTAACCTAGAAAAATATAAGTTGCATAGGCCAGTTAGAGATATCTGTTCCTTTTGAGTTGATTATATTCTGTTCTGACTTTCTTTAATTTGCCTTGGAGTTCATTTGAATTTGGAATATAGTCTCATTAAATATCACACAGTATTTATCTTTAGTTCTATTCCAAAGAACATGTGCACAAAAAAATGGAATGCATACCATAACTACACCGTTTATTCAGAATGACATGCCTTCATTAAAGGACTGAAATCCCTGTACAATCATTTATAAGTCAGCTTGCCTTTGAGTTAGCTAAATGGCTAAATTGGATTTACTTTTGTGATCTTTGTTTTTACTAATGTTGGAAGTAATTATATTGTATTTTCTTATTTTAATATACCATTTAAAAAAAATTGTATTTCACCCAAAAGTATTTTTCCATACCAGAAATAACTTAAATAATTGCACAATATTCAAGCCAATTCCAGTATAATTGCTTGTTTAGTGCATTATAGAAACATATGAACCAATATGAAAGCTACATATTTTACATGTCACTTTACATAAATAAAACAATGTTAATTATTTTTTGCTAATTATTTGTTGAATCTTATCTGTTTAAAAAAGCCTGAGTACAATTATTTAGTAGAAATATAAATTTGTACTAATATTGCAATCTTAAACATTTTAATTAAAAAGATGTGGTTTTAATGTGACTAAGTTATTCCATAAATTTTTCCTTGAAGCCTTAAATCTGACCAGACAATATAAAGCAGGGGTGTCAAAGTCAAGGTCCATGATCCAGCTGTTCCCCACAGGGTCCCTAAATCTGGCCCATGGGAATGGCCTGGAAATAGCAAAGGATTGGCAATACCTCTGATGCGCAGCCCTCTGTGCCCTGTTTTCAGTCTTGACAGCCTCCTGCAGCACTCTGTTGGAAAAAACAGGATATCAGGGGATGGGCATGCGCAGAGCATTGGGATGACTGATGAATATATATATCAATTATATATTAACCATTGAAGGAAAAAAAAACCCACAGCATCACTTGTCTTGAGAATATTTTGCTACAGCAGGGAACCCCAGCCTATGAGTTGTGGCCCACTAGTGGGTCGTGAGGGGATTGCAACCGGGCCTCACTTGTGCAAGCAGCGGGCAAGCACTTGCATGCGCTCTCCTTTTGGGAGAGCAGCAGGCAAGTGTGCATGCCGCGCATGCCAATGGAAGCTGCATACACACAGGCCTGCCTATCGCTTATGCAAAGCTATCCCCTCTCCCCCCACTGCCAGTCCACAAAGCTGGAAACGTTGGGGAACTCTGTGCTTCAAGTTTCCATAGCTAGATTATTTATGCAGCTGGTAATAAATACAGATTTTCCAGAATTGAAACAAATTTATAACTTCATGGCATAGATCTTGTTGCTCGTGAATAACTTAGAGGACACTTAACACATTTTATTTTATAACAATTTAATTTAATGGACAATTAAGTTGTAATATTAAATTTACATTTTTAATAATTTCAGTACATGAAAACTAAGACTAGTTCAAACAGTCCTTTTCCTCATTTAATTATGTTGTTTTAGTTAATTTTTCTGTAATGTACTCCTATTACATTACACTAATTAGATCTGATACTTAATACTTAATTGTGTAGTTCTGTCTTAACAACATAACATTGTTGATATTGCATCTTTCCTCTAACAATCTTGTTTGAATTTGTGATAGAAATAATGAAATAGTTGTTTATTTCTTGAAATAGTTCTTGAATTCAGTTTTCAGCTATTAATTCTGGCTTTAGTCCACTTTTGGGAGATAAAAATTCAGATCTATTGCCACCATCCCCCGTTTCCGCTGGTCCCCTAAGAGCTGGAAGAAGGAGCTTAAAGTTTTCCTGAAAGCTGCAAACATCAAGTCGAGCACCACAATTGCTCATTCAGAAATAGTAGACATATAACCTTGAACAATATAGGCAAGAAGTAGGATGAGAGTTTTCTGGAAAGGGGGGGGGTCCTATGGCTTAGGAGTGGGCCAAACGGTCAGGCCAATAAGAAGTAACAACATACCTCTAGCAACCAAACCCACTAAATGCTGCAAATGCTACCATCTCATCAACTGGTACTACAAATAGGAATTGAGTGAAATGGTAGATTCAGACATAGGGATGAAAACTTGTGCATGGGCAACTTTTAAGTAATACTCAAATAGCAGACCTAGGCATCTTACAGCCTATGGGCTGCATCTAGCTCACATGCAGTCCCAGTTCGACCAGTGGCATTAGTTGGGGTGAGGGTGGAGAGGTGGGGCAGCAGGTCAGCTTGACTTTGGGGGCAGGGCAGCAGCAGTGGGGGCAGGGCGGCAATGACCCTCCACAATGGTCCCAGCTTTTTATGTGTCCCCCTGGGCAAATTAATTGCCCACTCCTTCCCTGTAGGATAATGTAGGGGAGAGAACTTTACAGCAGAGAGTGCAATCCTCTCTAAGAGGTCAAAGGGAAATGGAGCAGGAAATAGGAAATAACAGCTCCTCCATGAGCAGGATGGAAATGTGTTTATAAAGCACCTCTTATCTGAAAAATTGGATAACAGAGCAGAGCCTGATTTGCAGACATAGAAGACCCCTCCCTACTCCTGTGATGTTAAAGAAATAGACTATGTTAGTTCTCGCTCCCACTCATTTTGAAATTACGCCAATAGTCAAGCCTCAACCTTGACCTCTACCCCCACACCCACTCAATAATGGGAAAGAAAACAAAGGCATAAGATAACAGACAAAAGAAAAACCGAATTCCAGCCACAATAGAGCCTATAAGCTTCTATAGCATTAAAATAATTTCTGTATCTAGTTTTTTTTTTTAATGTGACCAGATGGACCTCTCTAAGAACCCCATTGGGCTCACTGCCATCAGATATGCTTCAGACAAACAGAAAAAATGGCAGCTGGATTGCTGAGAAATTAAGGAGGAAATCCAGGAATAACTGAACCAAGTACATTTGTTTCAGGCAACAATGACCTTAATAAAAATTGAAAGAAACATTTCTCTCCTTAGCTTCTGATTTATGGTTGCAATTTACAAAGAATAATTAAGAATATCAAGGAGGAAAGATTTGCTGAAGAGTGTGTTTATTTCTCAAGATATAGATAACATTTTTTCAAATATTGTAGGATAAGATCTTTATAACCAACACACACACTAAATAAATTAATCTGATGATTGTATCTGAAATGTTTTGTGTGCTCAATTATTCTCAGAGCTTTTGGGGCAAGAAAGTGGCATTATTTATTTTATCTTCATACAAGTTACAGGAATCCTATCTTTTTCATACACTGATTAAGGAGTAGCACACCTAGGTAAAGGTTATCTACCAGAAAGGTAGATGTTGGTAACAGTAATTATGAAATAGATATATCAATGTAGGCAGGGAAATGGGCCAAGGTGTGTAAAACCCAGAGGAAATTGTTGAGATCATCCAACTTCTATGGAATCAGCATTGCTGCTATAGTTCCGTAACCAAATTTGTGAGTCTTGCATATCCTTTAGTTGCCTGGTTAAATTAAACATAATTAAAAGCACTGTGGAAGCTCCACAAGAGTCAAAACACAGTCCACAAAATCATCTTTAGGAAGTCTTTTAAAAGGCATTAGAGGGTGATTGCACTTTGGGCATACTACTGTGCCTTAGTGATGTTAAACTTGCAAAACGCTCTTGAAAAGGAAAATTCATTAATTTTTTTAAACATTTCTTCAGCAGCAGTGTCAATAAACAGGATGCATAGTGTGCGTCATGCTTTAAAAAAGCATTGGGCTATAGACATTATTATTGGCATGGCATATCCCAATCTTCACTACTTGACTGATATTGAGATTATTTTGATAAATTATATATATGGGAATTCCTTTTAAATATCTGTTTCCATTATTTATATATTTACTGTTTAAGTTTTCCACATCAAATAGGAACAAATGCATGCTTGCTTGCATCCTTATAATTTTAAAAAACGGGGAGAGAAGAAAGTGAAAAGTAAAGTATTAAGCTCAAGAAACAGTTCAGTAACAAAATTTTCTTATTTATCTTGCAATAACTGTGGAATTACCTCTAAAAATTGTGTGATTTGCCTTTTTATTTAAATTCTGTTGACAACTTCATTTTTTTTCTATAATATTTCTGAACAGCTATAT